CCGAGGCGTGGCCCCGGGGGCTGGGGCGATGTGCAGAGCCCGTGCGGGATTCGGGGAGCAGCGTCTGGGGGAGCAGAACCCCGCGGGCGCGGATGGGCGGCGGGCGGCACCCCCGGGGAAGGGAGGCTGTTTCCTGCGGGGTGGGGGCGAGGAACCCCATTTAATGTTTAACCCGCGGGAGGTTTATTGGCCCCTTCGGAGGCGCAGATTAGGAGCAAACAGAAAAACAGCCGCGGGCGGAGCGGGGCGGCCCCGCTGCGCTGATAAGGCGGCGGCGCGGAGCGGGGCGCGGAGGGTGCGGGGAGCTGCGGGTTCGGGCGGGACACGGGGTTCGGGCAAGGAGGGACACCAGGAGCTGCGGGACACGGGGTTCGGGCAGTGCGGGACACCAGGAGCTGCGGGACACGGGGTTCGGGCAAGGAGGGACACGAGGATCTGCAGGACACGGGTGCGGGACACGGGGTTCAGGCAGTGCGGGACACCAGGAGCTGCGGGACACGGGGTTCAGGCAGTGCGGGACACGGGGAGCCGCGGGACACAGGGCTCAGGCAGTGCGGGACACGGGTGCGGGACACGGCGCACGGAGAGGAGCGGAGCGCGCAGCGGCCGCCCCCGCGCAGCCGGGGACACCGGCGGCAGCCGCTCCGCCCGGGCGGCTCCGCACAGGCGGAGAAAGCCGCCCCTAATTCACGGAATCCTAAAACGGGTTGCTTCAGATGGGACCTTAAAGCTCATCTCGTTCCAACTATATTTACGAGCTAAAAAAAAAAATTTTTTAGAAAAATCAAATAGTGATTTAAGGAAAAAATTAAGAAATTCAAGTTTAAAAAAAAATACATATAACCCAAACCAAAACAAAAAAACACCACACTTGTTAAGGTTTGGTTTGTTGGTTTTTGTTTCCCAACTGGGACAAAGCTTTGCCTCCTTTCCCGAATCTTTCTCCGACTCCCTGCGCGGGCAGCTCTCCCAGGCTGGGAGGAACCGCTGCGAGCCGGGACCCCCAAAATCTCGTTTTTGCCCATTTTACGGCGATAAAAACAATTGTCTCCCGGTCCTCCAAAGCTCCCCGCGGCTGCTGCGCCTTTTCCCCGTCGCCTGCGGCCACGCGCGGATCGAAAGCAACGAAACCGTCCGCGATTTTCTGCCGCTCTCCCGGGCCAGAGCCGGGCCGGGGCCGGGGCCGGGAGGAGCCGTCGTTGGGCCAAAGTCGTTTGAAAGAGGCTGAAATTAAAACAAAACTCGTGAAAAAAAAAAATTAAATATATATATATATATATATATTTCCAAAGGTCTTATTCAGCGCCATCTTGTCCTTTTTTCTATCAAGTCTGTGTATTAATTCGCGGTATTAATTAGTGACATTAATTATTGGTATTGTCAAAGCTCTCAGGCATTTGCCTTGACCCAGCCCCGCGGTCGTGCTCACAGTTCCGGGGTGATTTTGGGGTTTGTGTTGAAAAACGACACTTGGGAGACAGGATTCATAGGAGGAGAGGAAGAATTTAAAAAAGAAAGGAAAAGGAAGCAAAAGAATGGAAAAGAATGGAAAAGTAAAGGGGAACGAAGGAAGGAAAGAAGGAAAGAAAGAAGGAAAGAAAGAAGGAAAGAAAGAAGGAAAGAAAGAAGGAAAGAAAGAAGGAAAGAAAGAAAGAAAGAAAGAAAGAAAGAAAGAAAGAAAGAAAGAAAGAAAGAAAGAAAGAAAGAAAGAAAGAAAGAAAGAAAGAAAGAAAGAANGAAAGAAAGAAAGAAAGAAAGAAAGAAAGAAAGAAAGAAAGAAAGAAAGAAAGAAAGAAAGAAAGAAAGAAAGAAAGAAAGAAAGAAAGAAAGAACCAAACAAAACGAACAAAACCAAGTTAAACCAAAAAATAATTAAAATGGAGAACGAAAAAGCGGGGCTGGGGGGTGAGGGGTGGAAGTGCTAATGGAAAAATAAAACGAAAGGTTGAAGAGGGAAAAGGAGAAGCGAATGCAGAAGCAGCAGGAGCTGCCCAGCTCTGAGGGCTGCCCGGGCCCCACGCGCGGGGTGAATTCCACGCACAGCCGGGGGAAGCACGGCAGGAGACCCCGAGCGCCCCTCGGAGCTGGGCGTGAAGGAAGCGGCGCAGGGAGCGCCGTGCCACGACGGCGTTGTCGCCCTCCCGGGAAATAATCACGAGCGAATTTCCTGGTCCTGAGTGTCGGAATAAATCCGTGGCGGGCAGGGGGTTCCCGCTAGAGGCGGGGAGCTGGGATGGGAGCGCATCCACAGCCACGCGAGGGACACGCAGGGCGGCGAGGCACCCCCTGCGCCCGCGGACACGCGGGGACGGAGGTGCGGGAACGCTCCCGCCGCCCCCAGCACCCCTCGGGTGCCTTTTCCGCCCCCGGGGCACGAGGGGGTTCAGCGGGTGGGGGTCACACCCGTGCAGGGACCCCAAAAGTGCCACCGTGGGAGCTGTGCGTCACCCACGGGCCCTCGCAGGCCTCGCGGGGCGGTCACAAAGTTGGTGGAGATGAATCTGGAGCGGGCCCGGGGGTCGCGGAGATGAATGGCCCGGGGGGACGGGCTGGGCACCGCCAGCTGCTGCCCAGATGTTTCTCCGTGGGACCCCTCCTCTTCTGCGGAGCCCCTTGGGGCGAGCGGGGCCGGAGGGAGCCCGGGGCGGCCGGAGCTGCAGCCCCCTCATCTCCCAGCTGAATAATTAATGGTTCATCTGCGGAGGGACGGGGGGAACTGGGGTGGAAAGAGGAGAAAAGCGGCGGGTGCCATTTCTAGGGGCCCGGCGTGGTCATCGATCCGCGACTCACTGACTCGGACTAATCCATCAGATGGACTCCTGCGGCCCCGGACCGGGACCAGGGCTAGGATCAAAAATAGGAACAAAAAAAAGACAATAGGAATAAGAATAGGACCGCGACCAGAACCAGCACCAAGAATTGGAATAGGAATAGAACCAGGAGCAGAACGAGGAATAGGACCAGAAAGAGAAACGGGAATAGAACCAGGACAGAAGCAGGAATAGGATCAGAATCAGTACCAGTCCTTGCCCCGGCCATGCCATACGTCGAACAATTTTTTTTTTTTTTTCCCCTTTTACCAGGAAGGAAAAATTCCTCTCGCCGCCCAGGTCCCTCCCTGCTTGCCGGGGGGCGAGGGTAGCAACCATCCGGACCCCTCCGGGCCGGGGCAGCGGGAAGAACAAGCGGGCTCACCCCGAGGCCTCGGGCCGGGCCGGGCCGGGGATTCACCTGCATCGATCGGGGGCTCGGGCCCGGCCCCCAGCGCGACCCCGGCCCCCGATGCCGCCGCTCGGGGCCGCCGGGCCGGGGCCGGGCCCGGGGGGCTGGGGCGGGCCCCAGGAGCGGCCCCGGGCGGGGGAGACGGCGGCAGGAGCGAAACGAAAGCGGGACCCAGCGGGGCTCGGGGCCGGAACAAAGCGGCAGGACCGGGGGGGCGGCTCGGCCGAGCCCCTCCGGAGCGGCCCGAGCCCCCGTGGGGAGCGAGGCGCGGCAGGGCAGGCTCGGGACGGGAGCTTGGGCTGGTGGTGGGTGGAATTTTTCCTGTTTTCACGGACAGCAAATGAACAAACCCCGCTCCCCGGAAATCTGGGGGGTTAATTCCTGTAAATAATGGGGACATGGCGGCCCTGGCGTCGGAGGAAACGGCGCCGGGGAAGAAAACTAATTTGGGGCAGAATAAATCCCCCACGGCGACGTGAGGAGCAAAGAGGCGACAGCAGGGACAGGGACCCTACGAGCCGGTTCGGGGACAGGGATCCCTGACACGGGCCGGGGACAAGGACCTCTCGAGGCGGGCCGAGAAGAGGGTTCCTCCTGAGCTTCCTCCAGCTGCGGCCGCCTTTTTATCACCACCATCACGGTTATTTTCAATTATTATTACTATTATTATTTTTAAATTATTCATTATTATTTCCAATTCTGGCGAAGCAGAAGCCCAAACCCGCTGCTCAATTAGCCCAAACAACGGGGGCATTAAACGGCCGATCGCGGCAGTGTTTAAATCTTTATTTACCAGAACCTTGTAAAGCCAGGAACAATTTGCATTCTATTAACTGCTTTTCAATAGGGCATCGACTGGAACTAAAAGATGCCACTACCCTGCCCTAATTAAAGAGCAACTGAATTACACTAAATACATATGAACGCTGCTCTTCCCCATAAATAACGGCGGGTCCTCGTCGCTGGCTTTGCCCGTCCCCACGGGGAGCTCGGATTTCTTAAAAAATAAATTTAAAATCACTAACGCGTGTTTTGTCCGCCACGGCTCGGCCCGGCGGAGCCAAGAGCTCCAGCGGTGTCCGGGGGGAGCGGCTCTGTGCCGGGGCCGGCGGGGAGCACCGGGCACGTCCCCGCTCGCCGCTGTCCCCTCTGTCCCACCCTCCGGCCCTTTCCCCGCGACCCCCGCCCGCCCTCGGCACAGATCGCCGCGTTCCTCCAGCACAGCCCCGGCCCGAGCCCGCGGGCAGCGGCGCCGCGGGACCGCGACCCAGCCGGGGATTGAGACACGGGGCAGCCGGAGGGAGCGGAGCGCGGCCCCGGTGCCGCAGCCCCGCTGGGGTGGCCCGGAGATTGCCCTGAGCGCGGCCTCGGTACCGAGAGGCGGCGGCCGAAGCGACCGCGGAGGAGTTCCAGGGTTCTGCCGGCGCCACGGGGCCGGTTCGGCGGCACCGAGAGGGAAATCCCCGAGGCAGGGGGACGGGCGGCGGCGAACGGGCGCCTCTCGGCTCCGTCCAGCCGCGATCCCGCATCTCTCGCGGGCAGCAGCAGGCCCGGAGAGGCGGGAGGTCGCCTTAGGTATAACTCACCTTAAATAAAAATTCCTTCCCTTTGGTCTTAAGGTCGCAAACCGGGTCGGTAACACCGCCCGGGCCCGACCCCAGTTCGCGACGGCAGCCCCGGAACCCCCGAGGGTTCCCACGCGCGTTCGCAGCACCCCTTGACCCACCCGCCCGGGGGTACGGGGCAGGCGGCCCGAGCCGCGCCGTGCCGTGTCCTACCTGCCAGTCTGAGCGCCGACATCCTCTGAAATTCCGGCTCCTGCAACCATTTCCACATCCTGCGGAAAGTCTCCCGGCCGGACTTGAGCTTACTCCAGGGCTTGGGGTTCCGCAGCAGGTCCGAGAGGGTCCCCTGGGAGCGGCACAAGATCCTCTGCGCGAAGATGGCCTGCGGGATGCTGTACCGCTTCAGCTCGGCCGTGATCCGCTGGGCCACCTCCTTGGTGTTGATCTCCTCCACCTGCCCGGAGCCGCCGGGCTGGGAGCCGGGGCCGGGCGCGGGGCGCTCCCGCTCGCCCAGCAGCGAGGCTCCGGGCTGGCCGTGCGGGTGGCCGTGCGGGTGCATCCCGTTGAGCGGCGGCATCATGGCCGAGCTGGGCGCCGCCAGCCCCCGCGCCAGGTGCTCCTCGCCCCGGGACAGCATCGCGGCGTGCGAGTCGAAGCCGTTGGGCGAGAGCATCTTCTCGTTGGGCAAGTGGCCGGCGGGGCCGTAGGGGGCCAGCGGCTGCTGGGCGTTGTGGAGGCTGCCCAGCCCGTTGGGCAGCGGCGACAGGGGCTGCCCCATGGCCGGCATGTCCTTGGGGTAGTGGCTGTAGAGGTTGCCCATGGAGGCCAAGCTCCGCTCGTCGCGCATGAGGGTGAAGCTACCGCTGACGTTGCCGGCCAGGCGCTGGTGTGGGTGGTGGTGGTGGTGGTGGTGGTGCGGGTGGTGGAACTTCTCCGAGACGGTGGAGATGGGCGGCAGGTGCTGCAGGGGAGTCAGCGTGGTGTAGGTGCTGCTCAGGCTCATGCCGGAGGGCGACTCGCAGGACATGCTCATGGCGGGGTGCAGCGGGGCTCCCAGGCTGTGCTCGCCGCGGTAGTCCCCCCCCTCCAGGATGGAGGCCATGCCCGAGACCATGGCGGGCCGGCCGTGCGGCACCAGGTTGCGGTGCGAGCTCTGCCGCCCGTGCGCGGGGCTCAGCAGCTCGGCGGGCTGCGAGTGCGGGACTCCGTGCAGGCTGCCCAGGTTCTCCATCGCCAGCTCCATGGTGGCCGCCGGGCTCTGCCGCTGCCTCGCCCGCTCGCTCGCTGCCTTCCTCCCCCACCCCCCCGCCGCCGCCGCCGCCGCCTCCTCCTCCTCCTCCTCCTCCACCGCCGCCCCCCCTCCCCGCGCCGGCTGCCCGGATTAATTCAGACTCCGCGCCCGGGGATCGATGTCCGCGCCCCGCGGTCAGGCCGGCATGGCGCGCCCGCCGCCCGCCCTGCCGGGCGCGGGGCTGGGGGCGCGGGGCTGGCGCGGGGCTGGCGCGGGGCGCGGGGCTCGGTGCGGGGCGGCTGCGGAGCCTCGGCCGCCGGCTCCCGGCAGCCTCGCTCTGGCCCGCGGCGTGACGTCAGCGCCGCCCCGCCCCGCCCCCCCGGCGGACCGAGCCGCCCCCCCGCCTCTCCCGGTGCCGCCGGGCGCGGGGAGCGCCTTCCCCGGAGCCCCGCCCGGCTCACCTTCCCCCGGCGCAGGGGTGACCCCTTTGACCCTCCCCGCACCGGCGGCCGCGCCCTCCCCGCCGCGCCCGGTGCCCAGCGCGCACCGCAGGTGGCGAGTGCCCACCTGAGCCCCCGCACATCTGGCTGGCCCCAGGCCACTCCCTGTGCGCGCAGCTGGCTGTGCCAGCCGCCCCTGGATGCGCCCGTGCCCCGCGTCCCCTGCCTCCCGCTGCCTGCCCCGTTCTCGACCCCGTGCCCCTCCCAAGGGTCTGGCTGTCCTGCCTACCCCAAATATCCTGTCCCGCACCCCCGGGGTTCCCCACGCGTGTCCCCCCGTCACCACCTTTTCCCTGCCCCTCGGCGAGCGCTGCCTCGGGAATGGAGAGGTGGCCTTGGCACGGGGAGGGGAGGTGACAGGGACACGCTTGGAGAGACACACGGTGCTGCAGGGCCCTGAGCAGCGGTGGTGGAGGAGGAAGAAAAAAAAAGGAGGAAGGAGAGGGAAAGAGAAAGAATAAATGGAAATGGAAAGTGGAAAACGCGAGGGGAAAATGGAAAATGAAATGGGAAAATGGAGAACGGAAAGAGAAAATTGAAAGGGAAAAGGGAAATGGAAAGGTAAAGGAACGGAGGGTGAGGAAGACTGGATGAAGAGCCAACGGCAGCCGGTTTTAGGCCACCGGAGGGGCTGGTGCTCGGTCTCCTTCCAGAACGGTTTTCAGCTGCCCCCGGCCCCGTTATCCCGGGCTGGCTCCCCGGGCAGTTCTGGCCTTTCCCGGCCGTGTCCGCTCACCCAGGTCGGCACACGCCGGTTTCCCAAGCCTTATTGAACAGACCGGGAAAATAAAAATAAAATCCATAGCTTCCTGCGGGTAGGGCCCTCCAGCCTCGCGTGGACTGCTCAGTTCCCGGCCACGGCCGGGCTCCAGGCGGCTGCCACAGCCGAGGGGCGGCCGGGAGGAGCTGGGAGCTCCGGTGCAGGGTGGCAGCAGCGGGAGAGCCGGGCCCGGCCCTCCCGGGGGTGTTCGTGGTGAGCCACCCGGCACCCGCCTGCTCAGGGAGCAATTCAGCCCAATTTCACATCTCATCCAAATTCAGTGCTTTTAACACAAGCCATCTCAAGCCACCTCACCCCATCTCAAGCCATCCGTTCCATCCATCTCATCGCATCCCCTCCGTCCCACTGTTTTCTATCCCATCTGGCAGCCTCTCCGGGAAGTCAATTAAGTGCCCAGTTCATTAAAATAAAGCCCCGCAAATTCCCGGGACGTGAGAGCAAGGGTAGATGACGATCGGAGGGGAGGGGGCCCTCCCCTCGGCCCATTTTCTGCCCCTTACACCTCGAGCCAGCCCCTGGAGCCGGGACGGGCCCCGCGAGCCGGGATGTGGAAGGACTCCAGCCCCTCTTTGGCCTCCCCCTCGGTTTGTGCCTGCCTGGAGGGCCGGGGGGGCCCGGGCAGGACCCCCGGAACGGAGGGAACCAGCCGGGCGGGGGGCTTTGAGGCAGGTAACGGGACCGGAGCCGGGCAGGGATGGGCAGGGGATGGCTCGGAGCTGGGCAGGGATGGGCAGGGGAAGGCTCGGAGCTGGGCAGGGATGGGCAGGGGGCCTGGAGCCGGGCAGTGCCAGAGGGTGCAGAGCGGCGGTATCGAGGAGGAGGTGGGGAACAAACCAGGGATGAAGCATCCGCGTCTGGAAGGGTTTCATTGAGTGTAATAATGGCGATAGCGCATCGACCGCCCATCGATAGATCTATCCCTGCAGCTGCCGTCCCGCACCGCGGCCCCGTGCGGGGCTCCCGACGCCCCCTCCGTCCCCAGCCCCGCCCGGCCCGCGGCACCGGGAGCCCCCCGGGACGGGCGCGGGACTCTGCCCTCCGCCGAGCCTCACACCGAGCAAACAGCAAAAAAAGAGAGAGACTTTTTAGTAATTAGTACGGCATAATTGAGTAATGCGGTAGCCCCGCGCCCCCCTCCTGCCCCCCCCGGCCCTTCCCCGATCGATGCAATATCATTAGGGCGAGAGGCACCGAGAACGCGGGGCCGGGGCGCGGGGAGGCGGCGGGAGCTCCCCGGGCCGGGGCTCCGGGCCGAGCCGCTGCGGTCCGTGAGAGCCGCGGGGTTCGCTGCCTGCGAGGCGGCTCCGGCCCGGGGAAAGCCCCTCGGAGCGCCCGGAGGCTCTGGCGATGGGCCGGGACGCAGCGCGGGGGAGAGGCCCCGGCTCCATTCGCCAGCTGGATGTTATTGATCCCTTCCCTCGCCACCTCTTTCTTCCTGAGCTCCCTCTCCCTATTTAATTCCCTTCCCTCTGCTCCTCCGCAGCCGCCCGGACAGCGCTCCGAGCGGAGCCGGGCAGTGCGGGCACCGGGGGCGCAGAGCGGTAAGTGCGGAGGGGGAGGGGGGTCGGGGCAGCCCCCACCCCCCCACATCCTCGCAGCGACCACGGAGCAGAGAGGCGCGGACCCAGCAGCCCCCTCCCCAACCTCCCGGCTCCCCAGAGCTGCGCTCGGTGTCCCCGTGCCTGCCCCGCTGTCCCCGGGCCGTGCGGGGCTCCTGGGGCGGCCCGCACCGGGGGCTGCGCGGCCCCAGAGCCGGGGCATTGCTGCCGCTCCCCTGCAGGTACCGTGCCCGCCGGTGCCGCTGCGCAGCTCCAGGGCTGTTTTGAGTTCAACTCTGGTTTGGCTTTATTTTATTTTATTTTATTTTTCTTTTTTCCCATTGCACTTAGGAACAGCACGAAGGCACAAACCCAGGACCAGCCCCAACGGAGGGGCCGCACCGCGGGCGGTGCTGCCGCCGAGCAGGCACCGGGCACCGGCCAAGCCGTCGGGTTTTACCGGGCAAGGGAAGAAAAGGAGCCGGAAAGTGGCTCCACGCACCCCGCCGGGAGCCAAAAAGTTCCTTAAAGTTCTCTAAGGCTTCAAAATAACAGCACCATCGCCTGGCAGGTGAATTATTTAGTGCCTATAGATCCCTCGCAAACCCTTTCATTTCGGTTCCAAACCTTCCCCAGCCCAGCCTTTGCCTATGGATGTCTCGATTTTCCAACAATCAAGCGGGAGGCAAAGAGCGTGGCAATTCCTGCTAATCGATTTTCCATACAATGGGCCCCAGATGATGTTTTAAAATGTGAGAAACTAAAATGTGTTGGTTTAAATAAGACTTTTGCAATCAATAGCTTTTAAAAAAAGAGTCTTTGATACCGGTTCTTGAAGGGGATTCAAACGCTTTCGCTTCCAAAACAAAACAAAGCAGGAAAAAAACCAGCCACGCCGGAAAAGTTCCGCCTGGATTTGGGGTCATTAAAGCGGGATATGGAGAAAGGCGCTCGGGGGGCGCAGCGCCGGCACCGCAGCCCCGGCCCCGCCGTCCGCACCGCGCCCCCTCCGCGGGGCTCCGCTGCCCCCGGCCGGCCGCGGGCTGGGCCAGCCCCGCGATTCTGCCCCTTTCCCTCCTATCCCGCCGGTTCGGGTGCGATTTTCCCTTCCCCGCTCTCCCGGCGGCGCCCAGTCGCGTTGCACTGTGGTTTGGTGCGCCCCGGGAAGGAATCCAGCCGAGAAAAAACTCCGGCCCTTTCCCCACCGACCGCTTCCTCGGCTTGAAATTCCGGCCCGCCTCGGCCGAGCATCGAGATCTGCACCCTCGCAGACTTTTTTTTTTTCCCCCAATTTTTTAAGTCAGTTTTAGCTGCAAGATCAGGCCCTTTCCCCACCCCTCCCGACTTCTTTTCCTTTCTCTTTCCCTTTGGCGGGATAGAATATAATTGTTTTAATGCCCTACCCGCGTGAAAATTTTCATTCTCTCCGCAGATTCGGCCGAGGAGCTGTTTAGTGACCGGGCCGGAGCGGGGGTCCGGCCGGGACCTGCCCCTCCCCCGGCCGGCTCCGCCGCCCGCCTCGCCCCGGTCCCGGTGGGTCGGGCCTGGCCCGCGCCGGGAGGGGGAAAAGCAGCAGCACCGGGGGGAAGCGGAGCGGGGGGTCGGGAGGGAGAGCTGGGGGGTGACCCGGCCCCTCCACGGCCTTTCCGGAGACTTTTCTCGTTTACCCGGAAACTTTGGGCGGCCTCGAAACTCGGCGGGAGGCAGCGGCGGGGTCGCGGCGGCGGCGGGGAGTGGGGACGGGGGGGTTCCCATCCGATTTCGCCCCTGGGGGGCACTTTGAGGACGGGCCGTGTCTCTTTTCGATGTAACCCCCGCAGGTTTTCCCCGAACGGAGCGGCCCCGCAGCCGCGGCGCATCCCGGGCCGGGCCGGCGGCCCCGGGGTTCCGCACCCACCTCGGCCGGGGAGCGGGGCCCGGGTCCCCCCCGCTGCCCCCGCGCCTCGAGCAGCCCCGGGAGCCTCCGGGAGCCTCTTTCAGCCGCAATTTGTTTTCAAAAGTTCCCCGCAGAGCACCGCTGAACTTTACACCCTGGCAGCGGCACGGAGAAAGCTCGACCCCGTCGGGACTTTCGGGGGAAAAGCGAGGAAATATCTCTGGGACTTCGCCCAGCTGCGAGATAGAGAAATTATACAATCGAATTTTTTTTATTATTTCTTTTTTTCCCTGATTTTTGCCCTTCCTCCCGTTGTC